TAAGTCCGGCGTCCTGGGCCGGAACCGGCCCACGGGCCGTAGGTTGCCGACCCCTGCTCTGTAACATACTGTCATGCAATAGACAGCAGCACCTTTAGACAACCAACCAGTCAGTTTGATTGAGAATCAACAGAACTTTATTGGAAGATCCATAGGTCAGACATATCTACCAGACATTTAGCTGAGACTGAAAATTCCCCCTCCCAACAGCCAGTAAAAAGAATGTGAAAAAGCCCGCGCGTTCACCCCTCCCTTCTCTCTCAAAACAAGCTCTGCATTGCCAGCTAGAAGAGTCTAGCACTCAAGGTCAGCAGATAAGGCACCTGGACTACTAACTCCTCTAACTCAATCTCCCATTATCCCCACACTAAACTACATATCTGATAGAATACCACCAGGATTCTAACACATGGCTTCATTTTTTGGTGTGTGTTGGGAAGGTGTGAAGCAGAAACTTTTAGGCCATGCTTTCTAGAAAGCCTTCTTTTAAGAGATTCCATTGGTGTTTTTGTATTCTGCATCCAACATCTGTCAGGATCAGCTTCTGCTTGGAGCCAAAATCCAATGAGACCACCTTGTAAAAAGAAGATTCCATTGTAAGCTTTGCTCAGGAGGAGGAATCTAGTTTAGTAGAAATCTAAACTATTGTGTGAGGAATGTTGAGCCAGTTAGGCTAAATGGAGAAGCCCCCAGCCGTTGCATGAATTGTTCTGGTCTGTTAGGGGTTCTGCCATTAGGGGAGCCTGTGTGGTGCAGTGGTTTGAACATTGAACTAGGACTCTGGAGACCAGGGTTCAACTCCCCATTCTGCCATGGAAACCCACTGGGTGATCTTGGGCATGTCACACTCTCTCAATCTCTGAGGAAGGCCATGGCAAATCCCTTCTGAACAAATCTTGCAGAGAAAATCCTGAAAAAGTTCACCTTAGGGTTACTAGAAACAAAAACAACAACAACAACAACAACAACTCTGGGTAGTGGCTCAGAGGCATGATGTGAGGCAGCTAATAGGAGCAGGCACAGGATGGAGCTGATTCAGGACTGCTGCCAAGGACTTTGGCCAATGTTTCAGCACCATGGAGAGCAATTCTGCAGCTATAGTCACATTGCTCCAGCACTGACCTGGAGCCACTCTCAGCATTTGGTAGGCTGGCTAGGAATGTCCTTCTGAAAGCTCCCACCCCACAAATTCAGTGTCTGGAGCAGATGTAGGGGCGTTCATAGAAAAGGGTCTGTGTGTTTAGTAAAATAAACTTAAAACCCAATTCACTTGCATTTAAATTAGACTGGGGAAATTGCTATGTTTCTGTTTAAATGCTTGCAGCAAAAGGCTTCCCAAACTGAAAATGAAAAATGCCACCTGTGATTTTCCACCTGCTCACTCCACCCACTTTGAGCTTCCGGGGGGAAGGCAACAGCTGCATGAATTTTTGAAAATCCAATTTCCCATCCTCACCATCAAAAAGCCTTCTCTTGGTTTTCCTTTCCCCTTCCCTTGTAATCTTATCTCCTTACCTTGACTTCTTTCTTTTACTGATCCCCATGTGGATCCCAGCAGACATTCCAGAATGAAGCTTCAAAATTCAGATGTCAGGTGTAGAATACAAGAAGATCACCGGAATACAAAGATGACTAGCCCCTTTCCAAGTTGCCCTTACTATTCATGGGTTTGAAATCTCTTGATCTCAGGGTTATCTAAGCTGCTATATTATAATCATGAACTGAAACAAGTGGTTTGAATTTTGTGACCTAAACAAAGTAATTCACCAACCCTGAGAGATTAACAAAAAATAAGAAGTAGTTCTGCAAAAGTTCAAGAAAACTAGGCTTTGGGTAAAGGAACAACTGGGAAAATTTAAATGTATTGGTTCTTTAGCTCTACCTCCCATTTCATTAATAAGATGATTTTGGAATTAAGTTAAAGCTGAAATCCAATGAAAAGCAATTCCTTCAGTTAAAAATATAAATGTAAATAATTCTCCCCATTTTGTTACAAATTTTCATCCTCAATTGATAATTTGATTTTAACAAGTTACTTCCTGTCTCTACTAAAGAGTCACTGGCTTTACCTATAGCCCTGACCTTCTCCAGGGTGTGTGTGATTCAAGGAATGGATTGCTGGTTGGGGTTGCTTCTTGGGTTCCCTTTGTTCTCTAAAGGCATCTGAGGTCCACTCATAGAGGACAGCAGAAAGTTTGGAGGTCTCACAAGCAGAGTGTAAGATCCAAAGCAGAGGACCCCTGTTCAGGAATGGGAACTATTTCAGATACTTGCAGGGCATCCATGCTACTGGACACCTCTGTCTCCAAGGGCCTTGGGTTCCTGGCCATGACAGTGCAACAATCCAATAGATCAGCTTCTAGTTCTAGCAACCTTCTGGACAGTTCTTGTGCTATTCTGCATTCAGGCCTCTGACATCAGAATCCTATGAACATGCCTTCTGGTCCTTTGAAAGGGGTAGGTCACTACTCTCTGGCAAAATCTTGTTGCTCCATATGGAATGATATCTTGCCTAACCCCAGTTTGAAACCTTTTCTGTTTCCTAAGATATTTACAAATGTACCCTGATGAAACCTGTTTTTAGGTCTGTGGTTTTTATTATTGCTATACATGTGAACCAGCATGGTGTAGTTCAGGGGTAGGCAACCTTTCCCCTTTAAGGGCCGAGGGACTTCAGCTCCCAGAAGCCTCAGTCATGTTGGCCAATAGCTCCTGGGATTCTGGGAGCTGAAGTCCCTCGGCCCTTAAAGGGGAAAGGTTGCCAACCCCTGGTGTAGTTGCTTGATCATTGTACTGTGACTCTGGAGATCAGGGTTCGATCCCCCACTTGGCCATGCAAACCCACTGGGTTTGAGTCATTCTCTCAGTCCCAGAAAACTCCAAGATGCGATCACCATTAGTCAGAAACAGCTTGAAGGCACACAACAACAGAAATGCTATGCTTTTGTTTTATATTATTGTTGCATAAACTGTTTATCAATATATTTGTAACTCTAATGTATGTTGCCTTGAACATTCAGTTTTTGAATAGAAAGGTTACTTGCAAATTCTTTTATAATAGTAATAATATTTGTGTTGCATGCAGGGATGGGCTGCTTCTGGGGAGCAGAGAGGAAATTTTGGAGGCAAAAAGGAGTCTACTCAACTCAAGTTGGTTATGCAGGTGGACACACCCCGCATCCTACCTATGAGGAAGTTTGTTCAGGTAAGGCTGGGTTTTTTTTGGGGGGGGGGTTGTAGATGGTAAGCCTGTGAATGAAATCCTGTGATGCTTAGAAACAAACAAGTACATAGTAAATTGAGAATAATGGCATATGGAACATATGAAGCCATAGTTAAACCATGACATAAACCATCCTGGTTTAAACCAGCCAATCCTGCTTAGGATCCAAGAGATGTGTCCCATTGTCACTGCAGCCAGGGATGTTGGAGCATATCTGTCTGATCATGCCACTTGGGGCAACAGACCTCCCAGAACATATCTTAATAAAAGAGAGTGTTTTATTATCAAATGACACAAAAGCGCCTTATTTAGTACAAGCTGTGCCTGGAAGTATGATCATTCATATGTTAAATTATAGCAACCACTCACTTTAACCCTTTCATAGTTTACTTGGCCTCAATTTTAATTCTAGCAGATCATTAGCCAAAACTAGGAATGCATTAATATGCTTTGTGATGTATTTTTATTGTAAGAATGGTTATATACATCACTATTTGTGTTGCCAAGATAGATGGCATGTTGCATTGAACTGAAGGAGCTGTTGGGCTGCTCAGATTTCCGAAGCCAATAACTACCCCGATAGGGAATTATTTTTTGATCACAGTAAATTGTTGTACAGATGCAAATGTGAAAAAGGCATTTGCAATGGATATGTTTTTTGAGCTATTTCCAGTGTATTTGACTAAATACACAAATACATGTTTCTTGGCAGTCATTATGTGAAACCTGTGATGTTCATTCACTATGAAATATCTCTTCATAGTTTACTTACAGATGTTCAGGACAATTCCTTGTTTATTAGTGTATTCATAAGCAATTTGAAATCTGCATTTCTCAGATGGAACTGAAATCTGATGAAGAGAAAAACTACTTGGTGGTTCATCAGCTGTTTCACTGCAATTACCATCCCTCCACACCCACACATACAACAGTTTTCTAGAAACCAGAATGTTTTTGCATTATACTTCTAATTCAGACTTGAATATCTATGTAATTTTCTGGAATATAGGGTAACTTTAAAAAAAAAGTAATTATATGAGGCAGCATGTACTTTAAACATTATTGATCATCTAGTTGTGTTTCCCCAAAAGTTATTTGGGTGACCTGTGTTTAATTGAGTCATCGCTAATGCTTTTTCTCAACAGCTGTGAGTTTATTTTTTTAATGTGCGTGAGTGATCTTTGAAAATTAATAGCACTTTAAATGTATGCAGCCTACATTTAGCTTTGTTGCCATGATACCTACAATATTGTTTGACAAATTATGCTGGTCACACAATTAGCCTTTTTCTGAGAGATACCCCTATTTTTTTTTTAAATTGTAGCCTCTGAGGAATTATTCTTAACTACTGCTTTGTTTGCATTCCATACAATCGCTTATCCCAGTGATTGCCTGGCAGTTTGTTTGTTCATTTATTACAGACGTTTTAATCTCTTCCTCTTCTTCTTCAATTTCCTCACCCTCTTAAAACAAAGCAGATAACTATCAAAACCAAAAATCATTGAAAGTGTGCCATAAAAGAAAACAATCACTGTATAACCAAGGTTATCTAGCTTACTAAAGTCAGTCTGGTAACAAAAACTGATCTGCTACAATGAGTGACCTTGTGTCTGATTTATATCCCACCATTCTCCCAATATGAGACCCAAAGCAGTGTAATAAGAAAAGTTCATATAATTATCTAAAAGGCAGAAGAGAATAATCTGTGACCTGGTTGTTTAAATGTGTGGACTTGGTGGAAAGCAAGGTGGCTGACAATGATTATTTTATTCAAGTTGAGTATGTCAGACTTTCTCGCCAAAACTTGCAAGACTTACTGTAAATAAAATGCATTTGTGTTTTCAGTAACTGCCTGAATATCATGTCATTATTAGATTGTGTTGTACTTGTGCAGGGGTTGGATGTTTTGGAGTCCAGCTCCATTTGAAATACAGTGAACCCCAATTCCCTGATCTGCCTTTCTGCATTCTAAATATATCTATCTGGATATATATTTGTCTATATTAAATTTCAACCTTTTTTTTTTTGCCCTGCATCAATAACAGATAACAATTCAGTAAATGAGCATCTTTCTTGATGCAGAGGACAGATAGAGGAGGGTGTGATCTAATGATGCATGTTTATGGCACCAAACTCCAAGACCCAAGAGAATCTCCTCCAGAGGTTTCATGAATGTGTTAAATACCATGGCGGATAGGATGTGAGGGATACCATAGCAGTATTCCTCAGCATCTTCTTTTGGAATGAACCCTCCAGAAAAGTTGGCAACCACTGAAAACTGTGCCAGTCGCTCTCTCCAACCCACTCCACCCATGTGGTCTAGAAGAATATTTTGGTCAGTGGTATCAAAGCCCTTGAGAAATCCTATAAAATTAATGAGCATATATTTCTTCTGTGCAGTTCCTGGCAAAGGTCATAGACCAAAATGTTAAAACTAATGCCTGTCTTATATCTGGGCCAGAAAATAGATTGATCTGACAATCAGCAGCATCCAGAAAAATCTGATTGAAGGGTGTGTACCCGTGTGTATAGTTACCACCTCCCCCCAAATATGTTAAAATGTAGTACAGTAAAAACAGCACAGGGAAAG